CATGCCCTTGTCTGGAATTGAACTCACAACTCATTGATCTGCAGGCTGATGCTCTAACCGCTGAGTCAAACTGAACCAGGGCAACAATTCTAATTTTTAAAAACTGTCAGCTGTGGGGCATGACAGTGCATGGTGGAGCCCAGTGTCCCAGGACCTTGTAGCCACAGAGCCTGGCAAAGTCTATTAAATGTTGAGGAGAGGTTGGAAGAAGGAGGAAGTGGCAGGGGAGAGAGGAAGAGTTAGAGGGAGGGAGAGAGAGAGAGAGAGAGAAACATCATGTAAGAGAGAAACATGAATCTACCACCTCCTGGATGCACCCCGACCAGGGATCAAACCCACAACCCACTGATAATCACTGTGGATTTAATAATAAGGTGTCACAAAGCTTGGCAATCCCACTTTAAGACTTGGTCCTGTCAGTGATCTCACACACAGGTGCTAGAAGCTTTATCACGAGGCTCATGGAATGTGATTGTAAAAGGGCAGAAACAACTTAAATATTACCAGTAGTAATATTAATTAAATAAAGTATGGCACAGCCCAAGTATAAAATCTTTTAAAATAAAATAAAATAACGGTGGCATTCCATTGTGGCTCTGGCTTCACAAAAATCATTAGCTATTACTCGGTGATTCCCTCAACACGTTGGATCTCTAACAGACCTTTTATGTGTTGGTGGTTGTCTGCATTGGGAGTGTCAAGGAAAAGGTGTCTTTGTGTTTCACTAAGCAATTAACTATACTCATGCTCTACCCAATTGGGGGATACCTGTAATACAATAATGGGGGGGGCAGTGTTTTTTAAAAAATTTTTAAATGAAGAAGCTTAAATAAACAAGTCTAAACGGGAAACAGCCCAGGTGTCAACCACTCTTCTCGCACTTGCTCAGGGGCATTTAGATCCCTGATAGACACTTGCAGTAACACCCTCACTTCTGTGTGGCCATAAGTGGGAAGGGGCTTTAAGTTCTTCTGAACTTTGCAATCTCTGGGTCAGGTAGTTAATAATCTCTAAACAAATGATTAAATAAAAGGCTTCCTTACTTTAGAAAATGAAACTAAAGATGTCTGGCTTAAAAATACTTGGGTAAAAAGACTACATTTCTCCATCTGTGGCATGTTCTTTCAACTTTTATCTTTATAGTCAAGTAAGTTACTCTTGCCCTGGCTGGTTTGGCTCAGCAGTTAGAGCATCGGCCTGAGGTCCAGAGAGACCCAGGTTCGGTTCCTGCTAAGGGCATGTACCTCGGTTGCAGTTTGTCCCCAGCCCCGCTTGGTCATGTGGGTGGCAGCCACTCAATAGGTCCCTTTCATGTCGATGTTTCCCTCGCGCGCTCTCTCTCTCTCTCTGTTCCTCTCTCTCCCCCCAACTCTACCTGAACAAAAAATGGAAAAATGTCCTCGGGTGAGGATAAAAAAAAAAAAGTAAGTTACTCTTTCTCTTTTTTAATCCATATATCCATAGGATAGTTTTCTTAGTTTCTCTACTCATTATAAAATCAATGCTAATTTTTAACCTTTTATAAAAGTTGCCATCTCCCTAGAGAAAATCGTGTTTTAAGAAGGGGTGAAATCTAGGAAGTAGCTTTTGATGACAATCCTTTTAAAGTAAGACTTGTTTTGCCTGGCCCATGTGGCTCAGTGGTTGAGTGTCACCCATGCACCAAGAGGTGGCTGGTTCGATTCCCAGTCAGGGCACATGTCCAAGCTGTGGGCCCAGTCCCCAGTGGGGGGCATGCAGGAGGCCACCAATGTTCTCTCTCATCAATGTTTCTCTCTCTCTCTCCTTCTTCCTTCCTCTAAAAAAGAAAAAAAGAAAAAAAAAAAATTTTTTTAAGTAAGACTTTTTTCAAGAAACTTCTTTTTTCATTTTTAAAATTCTTAGAAGTCATTTTATAACGTAAGAAAGCTTTTGCCTTTCAGGTGACAATCTTCTAAGCCATCCTAACACGTTCAGTCGGGGTTGGCAAAAGTAGGTTTATAGTTATAAGTACACAAAACACAGTCTATTCTAGTATTATTATTTATTAGTTATTTGTATTATGACAGTAAACCTACTTTTACCCCTGTATATTAAACATTTGTAAAGAGCTCCACTTCAAGCTAAAATTGTTTGCAGAGAGAGCAGAAGGAAAGTACATATCTAGTTTCATTTTCCCTTCCTCTCCCGACCCTTTATCAGAGCTGTCATACCAAGCAGCACAGAATCAAGTGTGGGTCAGAGTGAACAGGGGCTTCCTGGCAGAAAGCATGCTTTCCAAGGTGGCTTATGATTCGGGTCCTGGGTGCTCCAAGCCAAGTCCTATCAGGTAAGCATGGCAAGAACAGTCTCATAACTGGGGCTGGGAGAGAGAAGCAGAGGGTGGGATATGCCACTGCAACCAGGTCCCTCACAATATAATTAAGCTGGGACTTGGGGCAGAAAAAGGAGGTCAAAGGCAGCAGCTTATAGTGATAGCTATTACTCAAGCAGAGATGGAGGAACAAATGAGAGATATCAGGGCCAGATGTCCCATGAACCAGAAGATACTGATTAGTCTCCCAGGATGAATGATTGGGGTGGGGGTCAGGGAGCTGGCCAAGTCAAACCCAGTACCACCTTCTCCTGAGCCTAAGGTCACTCCCAGCAGTATACATCTGCCATCCCCCATGGATAGTGTAGATTGTGAAGTTTAAATTTGTCCTTGGTAACATTTACTGCTAGCATATGGGCACACGTGGAGTCACCAAAGAGCTCCCAGGCAGCTTTGGGAATGGTTGATGGGAAACAACTGTCTGCGGGGCCAAATGCTAAAGACAGTTAAGGGAGAGGAGAAAAAGTGACAAGGCAGAATGAATAGCCAAGGAGAAAAATGAACACGAACAACACAAAAACACATCATTTACACACACACACACAAACGGGAGATGGGGGGAGAACCAGAGAGTGCAAAAATAAGTTACTTTGTTTCTAAGCAAAGCCAAATCATATTCTTGGAATAAGCCAATAGGTAAAAACTTTAAGAGAACTTTCCCATCACTTTTTTTTTTTTTTTTTTTTGTTCAGGTAGAGCGGGAGGGAGAGAGAGGAACAGAGAGAGAGAGAGAAACATCGATGTGAAAGGGACACATCGAGTGGCTGCCACCCCCAGGGCCGAGGACAAACTGCAACCGAGGTATGCGCCCTTAGCGGGAACCGAACCCAGGTCTCTCAGGACCGCAGGCCGACGCTCTAACCGCTGAGCCAAACCGGCCAGGGCTCCCATCACTCTTTATACTTAATTTATTAAATAAAAAAACACAATGTTGGTAAGATTATAATAAACTTATCAACTCATAAATCCCTTGTAACAGTATAAATTATCACAACTTTTTTTAATTTCAATTTGGCGATAAGAATCAAAAGCTATAAAAATTGTCATAGCTATTTGCCCAATAATACTCCTTGGTGTTTAACTTTAGGGAAGTAAATCCAAAGAAAAGCTGTCTACATAAAGATACTCACTGCAAGATAATTTGTAATAGTAATTTCCTGAAGTGGGAGCTGGAGACAAACTGTCCCAAAACCGAATGATTAAGTAATTAAGACACAGCAACCCAGTAGAATCCATGAAGTCATTAGTAATAATAATTATGGAATTTATGTAGCAACATGCAAAATGTGGATGATATAATTTGTCATCTTTAGCAAATGTGTCCTAGATTGCCATTACTGCTAAGTAAAAATGCATATGTATAGCAAAGACCAAGGGGAGATGGGGAGAAATAAACAGTTGGTAATGACAGGAGCTGTAGAATGATGGGTGACATTTGTTTCTTTTTATAATTCTCTTCACTAGTTTGTTGTTTGTCCATGAAACAAATTATGGGTTTGGCAGCATGAGTTGTAGACGCAGAAACAAGAAAATGAAAGGATGGAGGCTCTTAAAAAGAACCTTTTAAACTATTAATCAAACCTTTCTTTTCCTTTCATCTTCCTACCTTTGTAGAGCAGTGGTCTAGAAACATACCTTTTAAGTCTCTCCTTAAAGCACCCTTCTTAGGACCAAACCCAGAACCACTAAGCCCGCCCTGTTGGCCCCCTCTCATCCCCAGTGCATGACCGTGACCTCGAACACCCACAGCTTTCCCCTGCTGCCCAGGTCGGGCCTGCCCTTCATGGATGCAAAAGAATCAAATGTAAAAGGCAGCAGCACATTGAGCTGCCTGCTGCCAAAGGTTGAGATTTCCCAGTACACACCAATCTATAATTAACAGCAGGCAATGCCAAAAACAACAAAGGAGCTTCAAGGAAACTGTGCTAAAATACTCCCCAGTTTTAACTACATATGCATTCTCTTCTACTCACCCACCCCACCCCATTCTCCCTATTGTATTCAGACATTCTTGTGAAACCACCAGACTGAGACCACCAGACTGCAGAAAAACACTAATAGCTGCCACTTCGTGGGCAGGAAGGAGTACAGAAGCTTGACCAAGGCCACAGGCAGCCAAGGCAGGCCACTCCTGAGAAACAGAAAAGCTGTTCTTAGAACCAGAAGGAAATGAAATAATCCCAGCTAGGTTACTTAATGGTTTTAAGATTCTGTGGGGGGGGGGGGGGGGGCAGGTGAGTGGGTGGGTGTGGATGTGCTATGAGGAAGTGACAGCACAAACGTCATAAAAAACAGCTACCACACCTTGTAAGATCATTTACAAGAACAAACGGATTTGAGATGCAGTAAAAAGTACTAGCTCTATATGGTTTACTTTGAGCCATGTAACTCTCTACCTTCAGAAAACGTCCCTCTTTAAGAGCATTTCTAAGAATGCCATAATGTAATCCTTAGTAACTATGCAACCATTTAGGAAGGATTTTCTCGAAAACTAGCCTGAACCTTTACCAGCATCCTCTTCTGACAGTTCACAATCCCTTTAGAACCACCATAATACTCCAGGCAGCAGAGGTTTAACTCCAGTGTGGAAGCAGCAAAGAAGCCAGGCATGTCTGTGGTTGTAAGTCTCTGACTGTACGGGACTCACCTTCATTAGAGGCAATGTGATCTCTTCCGTCACAAGGGTTATCCCAGGAATTTCCTACAGAGGGGAAAACAGACGCACAATGTCAATTCCTACAAGCTCAAGCCTTCAGAAAGTGATTTCTGCACCGACAGAAGCTGAGGACAGCTTCCAGTTTGCTAACCTCTACTTTAAATAAACCTCAGAGTTTATAAACAATAGTGAGCACAGCCTAACTCTTGCTTCAGGAAGAAAAATACTCTTTAAAGTTATGATTATAATAGTTGACAGTATTTCTAAAGGAAAGAAGACTAATGAAGAAATACGTAGCAAACAGTATATTGTTTACACATTTCCATTTGCACTGTGTAATAAGGGGGGGAGGCACATTCCATATTTTGTAATCCTCCCTCCCTCTTCTCTTTAATTTAAATACACTATAGTTGGCTATGCCTCACTAGCAGGAATGAAGACTGATGGAACTCTTGTCTGACTTTAGTAGAAAAGCTTTCTGCACCTCATCCTCCACCATAATTTCAGAGCGAAGAGAACCCGATGCAGAGCTGTCACCCTGGCAGATGCCAGGATGGGCAGTTCATCTCAGGAAGTCCCAGTTATAGTATTCTGCTAGCTAGGGAGCGTTAAAACAGACACTTTAATAAAAGGATAAACTTCCCAAATTGCCCTTTTTTCATTGTTATTTTCAAAGTGCTTTTTTATGTGAGTTATGTATATCAGCCTCTCCACTAAATCAAGTCATCTTTCATTTCCTTAAAAAAAGGTACATAATATATGACAAAATAATTTCAAAGGCGTTATGTAGAAATAAAATCTGATATTTGGATAGGACTTAAATATCCTGGATTTTACTGGCACACAACCATCCTGTGAAAAGGTGGTTACAGCAGTGGAGAAATAAATTTCAAGAACATTTGAGCCATTGAGTTCTCCTCTGTGAGAATAAAAGGCCTGTGATAAAAATCTTCTGTGTGCTTCACAACATAGGACACTTCAAAAAAATAAAAAAGCATTAAAATGTCACTACAGCTTTAGGTTATAAATAACATCTTAAAATAGGTATAACAAGGCTAATTGTTTGCATACCATAATTCAGGATATCAATGTGAAAGAGCACCATATTTTCTAGTATCTTACAAAATCCAATTCAGTTATTTACAAAAATAATCTGCCTCCATATGAAGTGTGAAAGTAATGTTTTCTATTGTGGCAAGTGTCTACTAAGGGTGTGGCATTAAAAGCATTTGCAGGTTAGAGAAAGGAAAAAGTAAATGATTTGCATCCTTGCTAAGGATAAGTATAGACTTAGAAAATTTCAGGGTTAGAAGAGACCTTAAGGCAACCTATTCCAACCGCAAGGACTTTAAAACAATGTGGTAAACCCTGAAATAAGCTTAATACACAAGTGGTTAGAATCTTAGGTTCTTTTTATTTTGTATCCCTTCTAGGATGTCACTTTCTATGTCCACAGCAGCTCCTCTGCCACATAATCATGAGAAATGCAAAAGTGACGACTTGCCTGTCAGGCTGACATGCTCCATCTTAAAACACAACCCTGGAAACTAGAGGTCCTGTATCTGCCTCCCAGACTGAACGTGACAGGGCAGGCCAGCAAGAGAGAGCATGGGTGGCCAGCGGAAGAAGCTGAGAAGTGCATTTCCTGACACTGGGTGATTCAACCTGCAAACTTCCTCCCGCAGAACCACAGTGTCTGCACGTATATTCACAAGAGTTCTTAAAGAAAACAGTGAGGACCTGAGAAGGAACAAGCTCAGGTCTCCCCCTTATAATTCTACAGTGAGGCATGAAAGTTTAATAACTCTAACAGTAAAAGAACAAAGGGCCTTTAGGAAAACACTACCAGTGTGCACAACAAAAATTGTGATATTGATCAAACACACCAGATATGTCTTTTGTAAGGACTGTATTTAAATAGTCTAAATACAAAATGGTAAGTGTTGCAATTTGTCCTGGAACATCCTCTCCTAGGTCTGTGTAATTTTTCTAAATGCCTTTTTGATACGAACCTCTGCCTCCAGACAACGCATGTAGTTCTGACATCTAAAAATGGAAGGAGAGGAAGCAGAGCCTTTTTCAGGAGATGCCTGTGTATGCTCTCCGCTGTCTGATCCAACATAGTGCAGTTCATTGCACCACGTTCGAGAGAAAAATGATCAATGCTTTAACTCAGCACTTCCTAATTAAAGAGGAGAGAGTCTGGACCAACCAGAAGAAAAAGTTAAATGAGTGAGTTTTTGTAAGATTACCGACTTCCACTGATCATAAAGCTCTGGAGTTATTACAGATTTTCTTTGTAAAGCTGAGAAAAGGGGTCAGGAAGGTGCTGATCTACTAAATCAAAAGAACCACTCAGTTTAACAGCAGTAATCCACCCTTGCTCATTTATAAAACCCTAAGAAATATTCTAATCCATTCTAGGTGCTAATAAAATATTAACCATTTGAAGATGATAAAGGTGTAAGTCTGCTTGGTAGTAGGAAGAGTAACAAATATCCTATACCTCTCCTCAAGTCTCCTGTTTTATAAATATCTTTGGCCAATGTCAAGGATTATTTTTCTGCGAGAGAACACCAACTCAGTTTCTTATCAGTCAAAATCAAAATGAAATCACAACCTAGGTCACTGTGACAGGGATGTCCTACAAATGACCTACAACTATTAGTTAATTTTAATTACAGAAAGAATACAAAAACTTTAACTTACTGTATTCCAAGTGAGCACTGAGGAATATGGCAAAAGTTTATCCATGTTACTTGTCTCTGGGTATATGCTCCAATAGGAAGAAGCTGAGCAGGTTTTCGAAAGAAAAAAAAAATACATATGGTTTAATAATAATCAGGCAGTAGACATTGTAATTTGCCAAAATGAGCAAACCAACAGAAGTTTTCATCCTCTAAAAATTAACCATTATAATTGTATCTACTTTCATAACCATGGACATAGACAACAATGCTGGGGACAGGGAGGGGCGGGGGGCCATTAAGGGGGAAGGTGTCAATGGGGGAAAAAGGAGAAACATCTGTAACAAAAATTAATTAATATAATTTTATCTACTGATTAAAATGTTCAGGTTCTGCTTTTGATAATGAGAACTTAAAAAAAAAATTTAAATCCTCACCTGAGGATATTTTTCCATTTATTTTCAGACAGAGTGGGAGGGAGAGAGAAAGAGAAACATCAGTGTGAAAGAGACACATCAACTGGTTGCCTCCTGCACAACCCCAGCCAGGGCCGGGGACTGAACCACAACCAAGGTACATGCCCTTGACCAGAATCGAACCCACAATTCTGGTCTGCAGGCCAACGTTCTGACCACTGAGCAAACCCGCCAGGGTGAGAATAACTTTTTAAAAAATTAATTTGCACTCTTAGCCGGTATGGCTCAGTTTGTTGGAACGTAGTCCCGTACACCAAAAGGTGACAGGTTCAATTCCCGGTCAGGGCACATACCCAGGTTGAGGGTTTGAAGCTCAGTCAGGACATGTCTGGGAGGCAACCAATCAATGTTTCTCTCTCACATCAATGTTTCTCTCTCTTTCTCTCTTCCTTCCTCTCTCTAAAATCAATTTTTTGGTTTGTTAATCCTCACCCGAGGATATTTTTTTCATTGATTTTTTTTAGGGTAGAGGGAGGGAAAGAGAGAGAAACATTAATGGGACAGAGACACATAAATTGGTTGCCTCCTACATGACCCTGACCTGGCTGGGGGTCGAACCTGAAACCCAGGTACATGCCCTTGATTAGGAATTGAACCCAAGACCCTTCAGTCTGCAGGCCGACGCTCCAACCATTGAGCCAAACCAGCCAGGGCTCTAAAATCAACTTTTTTAAAAAAATAAAAGTAGGAATTGCTTTAAAAATATTCCTTGGCATTATACAACTTAATATCAAACCAACCAACACAAAAATGAGCTAAGAAAGCTACATTTTATTGAAAAAAAAATCAGTGATGAGGTTTATAGGCTCAAAATCATATCTTATATCTTATTAGTCTCTAAACAGCCATAGCTTCTCACAAAACCACAAGAGAACAAAATTTAATTAGCTGCTGACTACAACAGAAAAAAAAAAATCTCCTAAGCAAGCAGTTTCACAGGTTGGGACATTATCAATTTACTGTTTTCCCTCAGGCAAAAGGGTCAAGGATTCAGCTTAACACACAACATGTGCAATACCTACCAATTATAAATTCCTGAATGGGGTCAAATAAATAGCAAGCAGAGATGTTCTCAGAAATCCACTGAATAATCTTTAAAAAGTAAGAAGACAATTCTTTTACTATTTAAATCTGCACCCTGCCCCCACTACCAAAGAAGTATAAAATATACATGAATCATATAAATTCTACATCTATTTTGGAATTGCCTAAGAATACACTTACCTCTATACTACCTACAAGATAGATAATGGAAAACTGTGTGAAGAAAACAGTATTATAAATGAGGTCCTTTGTACACGTCTTTTTAATAAGTGACCTTGGCTGGAATCCAAATAAACCTTCTTCAACCCAACGTTTGTTTTTGCTAGAGGAGGTTGTATTCTAGCAAAGACCAGTGCGAAGGGCTGGGGGGTAGAGAAAACAAACCCACTAAGCTTGGGGGCAACAGATCAGGGTCTGAATTCCAGCTCAGTAATCAGTACGAACAATGTCACACTATTTAACAGCACTGTATTATCCTCTCAAGGGAGGGATAATCCCTGTGATAGTATCAATTCTCTCATAAATCTCCAAAACCATCATCATCTGCTGGAGGAATAAAGCTCCTTGTCCCTACCTTAGAATTGATGGGTACTGTAAGGCTTGCCTAACCACAATGGACTCTCACTCTCCTGCTCCTACCAATAATTTGTTTTTTCCAAACCTATTCATGCTTATTGTATTTATTTTCACAAGCAGTTAATTTAATAAACTATTACCATAGACAATTGACACATGGATGCAGAAAGGGTATTGTTGGGTCGACAAAAATTGGATGCTTAGGAAAGACTCTAAAACACTTATTTAAAAACTAGGTACATGTTAGATAACTATAAAAGATTGAGAAAAAAAAATTGCCCTATATACAGATTGTTTTGAAATTATTGTTCTCCTTAGGAAAAGAAAAGAAAAAGCAACTAACAAGAAGAGACAACACATTACTAGTAGTTTAATGTAAGAAAAAATATTTTGAACATTAGTTAGCTAACATTCAAATACAGGACTTTCATTTACATCAGAAGATGGCTGAATAAATGTACATTTATGTTTTAGGTTAAAATAAAATGCTTAAGATATCTTTTTCACAATAAACCAATTACCTATTGGTCCTAATTAAGTCTTTGACATCACAGGATAGCTCTAATGCATAAAGGTACTTTGTAAACTATAATGTGTAATTTAAATGTAATTTTCAATAGAATATATGCCACCAGATTTTAGTCCATTTGACAATATACACCAAATATAGAATGAGTGAAAAAGTAGATATTTATGAAACTCATTATTTACTGAGCACTTCCTTGGTATATTACTGATGTAGCTAAACACTTCTTCACAATACTGCAAAGAGAGGGGCCAATAGAATGTATGCACCCTCACAGTCTGAGGTCTGGTTGGGATCCATTAAAAAGGAGCACAAGAGAAAAGTATATTCAAGTTAGGATGGAGACCTTCAACCTTGATTAACTGCTAACAAATAAACTAACTTCTGTTCATGTTCAACCACTAAATAAATACATTTGATATCGTCTATTTGCCAATTTTTAAACGTAAGCTATGTTCCCACCTGGGCTTCCAGAAACTGTGGGTCCTGGCCACACGCCAGTGTGCAGTGCAACAGGGCCATCTTCTCCCAGTCTAGCCGGGTGTTCCAGAGGAACTCTAATAAATAGGGCTGGTTAAGGAACGCTCGATAGAGCTTTCCAGAACACCAATCCAGTACCAGGGACCCTGAAAATGACTGTGAAGGACTATGAGGAAGCATATCAATCACTTGGCTGTTTCCTGGCCAAAAAAGAAATAAAATTAAAAAGATCAGCAAATATAAGAAACCCTTCTCACCCAAATATAAACATTAAAGCGAAAACGAACTCAAATGGACCATGTTTATGAAGGAAAAACTAGAGCTGTACCTGTCAAAAACAGACTGTGGCAGATCAGGTCTGGATGTTGAATGTTAAGTAGATGAAAGAAATGACCAGGTAAGTAAACAGCCACGTAATAGTCTGTAGAAGAGAAAGATTTCAGTCATCTACATGTGGTCAGAGTCAGTCTCTCTCTCTCTCTCTCTCTCTCTCTCTATCTCTATCTCTCTCTCTATCTCTATCTCTATCTCTATCTCTATCTCTATCTCTATCTCTCTCTTTTAATCTCTTAAAACACAAAAGCTTTGACCAATGTGATAATTAGCTGTTTTAGGTCAGTACCTATCATCCTACTAGCAGATCTCATTTATTTCTGTGGCTAATTTTACTCAAACATATAGCCATGGTTAACTTAATTTAATCTATAGCTTTGTTTCTAAGTGAATTGTGGCTTTATATGAATCTAAATAATCTTTGGGAGCAACTTAGAATTGAAAAGATTAAGCAACATGAATTATTCCTTAATCTAATAAACTGGGAATAGTTTATAATGGGAATTTCCTTCACAGTTTCTGCCAGTTTGAGGAAGCTCTAAAATTTAGTTTCTTATGTTTATCCATACTCATCATCATCATCATCATAGTCATCCTTATCACTGCCATTATCATTATTGTCTTCATCATCACTTTGTTTAGAGAAACTTTAAATTGATATTCATCAAAACAATCTCAGCAGGCATTCTGACACTTTATGAAGTACTAGTTTACTTCCTTGCATAGCTTGCTGCCTCTATAAAATTCACACTTTCAGGGTCCCTGCACTAGATATCTTTGTACCAAGAACATTTGTACACAGATTGAGCCAAGGTGTAAACTTAGATTTCTAGAGAATGGGAGGGTAGAAATACCAATAATTTTCCTAGGATCTTAAGAAAACAGAAATTCACATGATTTTAGTGAATTTCATACAGATGAAACATTTAAATTATAAATGAGCCAGCTGGAATATTATTTTCCAAAGAAGCAACGAAATATATGCTAATCAGTTGCATAGAAGGCATTCTATGCAAAGGAAAGGAAAGGAAAGAGGATGTGAAACTCTAGCCAGTCACCATGGAGCAAGTGATGTTAAAGTGCTTAGCACAAATGGTTGCATTAATATAATTACGGAGAACCTTAAGTAGAAAAACACAAATAATATCGTAGGGCACAGTGGTAAAAGTTTGCCATCAAATGACCTAGGTTAACTAGTTATTTAGGATGGTACTCTCTATGTCCCTGGAAGAGGGGGCATTTGGAAATATATAAAGGTGTTTTGGGTTGTCACAATCATTGGGGTGGAGGAAGATTCCTATTACAATTTGGTGAATGAGCTCCAAGAAAGTTAAAGCCCTCAATGTGCAAGACACTCTCACACAAAGAATTATGTATTATCTCACCAAAAATGTCAATAATATCTGTGGTAAGCTGAACAATGGCCTCCAAAGATGTTCAAGTGCTAATCACCAGAGCTTATGAACATGTTACCTTGAGTGATAAAAGGGACCTTGCAGATGTGATTCAGGATCTTGAGATGGGGATGGTAGACCCAATGTAATCACATACGTTTTTATAAGAGGAAGATTTAACTACAGAAGAGAAGATCATATGATGAAAGAGACTAAGCCAAAAATTGCTCGCCTCTAGATGCAGTAGGAGGCAAAGGAGCCTTTCTTCCCAGGCATCTCCAGAAAGAGCCATTTCTGCCCACGTGTTGATTTTAACTCCTCAAGACTCATTTCAGAATTCTGACCCTCAGAACCATACAAGAAAGTTTGTGTTGTTTTAAGCCCTAAATGTATAGTGACTTGTTTCAAAAGAAATAAGAAACCATAATAATACCCCTCATAAGAGATGCTAAAAGAAGCCTGGGCACACATTTTAGCCTTTCTGAGCACCAATTTCATTATCATCACAAAGCAAAATTATTGTAATAGTCAAGATAACTTAAATAAAATAGCATATAGTATTAATTTTTTAAATGGAAGCTTTTTATTTATAAACATATCTTTCTTATATAGTGGTGCTTGGGGATTAATTGAAATTAAAAAAAAACAAAACTGTTATTTAAAAATTTTAATCAATATAAGCCCCTTTTGACAGGGTGACAATTTAAGGAAATTACAGGCAATTAATAGCAAAAAGCACATCACTCAAAAAAAAAATATTGTTGCCCTGGCCAGTTTGGCTCAATGGTTACAGCTTCCTCCCACGGACTAAAGAGCTGCAGGTTTGATTCCGGTCAAGGGCACATACCTCAGTTGCGGTTGCGGTTTGATCCCCAGCCCTGGTTGGGGTCCTGTGAGAGGCAACCAATTGATGTGTCTCTCTCACATCAATGTCTCTTTCTCTCTCCTGCCCCCCATCATGCTCTGTCTGAAAAAATCAATGGAAAAATATCTTTGGGTGAGAATTTAAAAAAAAAAAAAAAAAGCAATATGATTGTCATAAAAATTACTTCTAGAATAGTTTTAATAAGGTACAATTTTGTGCCTATAAAATGTGTTTAAGAAGAAAACAGCCTATTTTTCAGAAAGCGCTAGTTTTTCTGGCTTCTCCAGATTCTGAACACCATAGATTAAATCATGCCTGCCCTTTTCAAGACTCACTCCCAGGGGTACCCAGAGGGTACTTTTGACCTCAAAAAATGCTAAGTTTTTTTTAGTGGAAAGTTTCCACATCACTCTTGAGATAGGATGCTGATAAGAATCAGGTCCCAGTCCCAAGAAATCTTGTATTTATCTCTTACCACAGGAAGCAATAGCACCAGGCCTCTTGAAAGCCATTTCCCACAGGCTCAGAGCCCACAGAATCTGCCACATACTGGCCCACATAGCATAAGATATTTTACCTCGCCAGTAGTACCATTCAAAATAGAAATCTTTTTATGAGCATTCTTATCATTTTGGTTCTCATTTTGCCCCATTCCCTCACATCACACCTTCCTAAACCTTTGTCATAATAGTAGCTTTTCCTTTCTTTTTTTTTTTTTTCCTTTATTGATTTTAGAGAGAGAGAGGAAGGGAGGGGAAGAGAGAGATAGAAACATCAATGAGAGAGAACATCGACTGGCCACCTCCTGCATACCCCTCACTGGGGATCTGGCCCACAACCTGGGCATGTGCCCTGACCCGGAATCAAACCAGCGACCACTTGGAGCATGGGTCGATGCTCAACCACTGAGCCACACTGGCCGGGCAGCTTTTCCTTTTTAAATAGTGTGCCATGTCCCATATGTGGGCAAGCAATAGTTCTGTTGTTTAGCCTTGTACTGACCTGTGTGTGCCCCACATCCCAATTAGCATAAAGAAGCCACTTTCGGTAGAGAGGTACAATAAACCCCTTCTTTATTTTCTTCCTTGTAGACTCCCTTAATACAACTCAAGTCCCCTTAAATATTTACTCAATAAAAACCAACTCACTTAAGCTGATCCATTAATCACTTGTGGGACTTGGAAGATTTTAGCAATTAGCAACAGGGAGTGGACAATTTCCCAAACACCTTTATCCTCTCCATGATCAATGGGCCAACATGATATATTATTTCTCAGAGGCTTTTAGGGAACATCTTATTCACTGTCATCATTTTTACACTCCTGAAATGGCTTTTATGACTGGCTACTAAAAACATAAGAAAGCTCACGGTGTAGGTTCTCTAAAAGGAGAAATGCATCCTCGCTTCAGACCCCCATAAAGGCTGATGGAGTTGGGGAGGAGGTTCCAGAGAAACATTCTCCTACCGGGTTTCAAAAAGGTCAGTGATTGCTATTGCAATCCAAGTCCCAAAGAGGCATGAGAAAATGAGGTGTACAGAGAAGAAAATGAGATATAGAGGCTGAGGCATAACATGTACTGGAAGGAGGGATCAGAACCGAGAAATGCCTCTCTCTCTCACTCACCAAGGTTAAGAAAAGTAATGCCCTTTATCACATGTGAGTGAGCACTCCCAAGAGCAGCAGTGAAGGTCTTGCTATACCCTGTGGAGAGAGAACATGAAGCCAGAGAAAGCATGTTAAGAAACAAAGAGCTGGCCTTCCACCTAAGGCAGGACTCTATGTAATACTCTCAACATTTAACCTGTGACATGGATAAAGCAAGCATCTCTGACTTCTAGATTTCATAGTTTCCCATCATTCTCCAAAAGCCAGCATTAAGGGTGTATGACCTGAGTTCAGTCACATTCCAATAGTTGTTCTGGGCTTATATATAATCTTAGACATTAACAGGTAGGTTGTGCTGGGAGGGAATGATCCAAAGAAATCTACTTAAAGATCCATGAGAAGGAGGAGATCTGGTGACTCGCTGGCCCTCAAGCTTCAGGCTCCTTGCCGTACTCCTAAAGTCATCCAGACCCTCTGAGACTGCTATTGTGTAATAGCACTTTGAGTTAGAAAGGGTATTGTACCACCTCTAAACTCAGTATATTAGGTTTCGTTCTCTCCTTTTCTAACTCTTATTAATCTTCAGAAAAGTTTTATTTATGGGTTTTAATTATTAATCATTAGAAAAATGTGTGAAAACTTTCTACAATATATCAAACCTATACTATTAAAAAGCATGTATTTATGCCTAGTTCTGAAGTTACTTTTATTTTCCTCATTATTGAGTAAGTTATTAAGCTTTTTCAACTTGACCTCTAACTTCTGAAGGAAATAGTAGGCACACTTGCAGAATAAAAAACTGGTGTGGTCTGACATAAAGTTTTTCAATTTTGAAAAAAACCCATCTTAACATTTCTTAACTTTACCTACAGTATGTACTGCATAAATATCAGTGTTTAATGAACTCAATAAGCAAAAATAAACACTCCTGAGCATGGTTCAGACTAAAACTATTAAAGGACACACTGTGGCCAACTACTGAACTGGAAAAGGTTGGACGCTTTATTCCTTCTCCCCTGGCTGGCTCTTGACATATCGATTTTTTGGGTCACAGATGCATGAAATGAAATAAACGTATCTTAGGTCTAAGACTTGTTAAGATCTGAGATCATGAAAGCTTCTAACTAAAACCTTAGGTATCTTTGCAAGTTAAATCAATTGACACTTTCCAACTAGTAATAATAGAAAAGCAAACAAACACACTTTGGTCAAATATGTCCATTAGGATTAATCTATAGTTCTAGAAAAATACAGAGGTCCAGATAAAAAGTATATAAGATATAAAAATATTTAGCTAACTTAATATTCATCACTAGTGAATTTCTTCAGGAAACATGTATTATATAGGTATAAGGTATAGAATTTACTTAATAATACCAAAATCTGTCAAATTTGCTACTATTTGGAAAAAGTGATTATGTGAAAGTAAACACCAAGTAAATGAGAAGTACCTTTATGAAAGTAAAACACTGAATATGTGACTTGTTCCCAAGAGTCAAACTTCGGGCTGTAACACACACATAAACTTCCTAGAAATAAGAAGATGTTTAGTAGAATCATAAACAAATAAAAAGATTCCTAAACCACTTAACCTTACTTGTATTCCTTTAGATGTCTTGCCTCAATTTATTTCATAGATTACTCCCAAATTCTAGAAATGGTCTATTAACAAGTTACTAAGAAATTTCAATCCAACCATTACTCAGCACACACTATAAGCAATGTATTGTGGTAGGCTATGAAGGGAAGGAAAATGAATGGAGACACACTCCTGTGTATGAATCATGTGAGACTAGAGAAGTTTGCAAAGTTTCATGAGATTCTCCTGACATATATATACTGCCTTGCCCTCTTAGCCGGCTTGCCTTCCAGTCATTACTAATAGCTATAAACCCTACTTTATCAAAAATTTTCTCCTCTTTACACAAAGTTTTCAGTCTTCTTATTTATCTAGAATAAAAGACCAACTGGACAATCTTATGGAGCAATATGTGGTATGTGAGCCCCTGACCCCATACTGGGTCACTAAGGGCCTTGGCCCATGGGCAAAGGAGAGCTCCTAGCATAGAGTTGTTTTTCAAGAAGAGTGTGAACACCTTCACTTACCCGTCACTCCATAATACCCCTGCCTTCCCACCTCCTTCAATGTGTGTGAAACTGTACATCATCTCTAACAACTGTTGTTTTATAGATAACTAGATAATGTTCATCAGTGACCTACAAATGAGGGCATTATGCTTAAACAGATACTTCATTCTAATGCTAATGTTTATGTGATTAACTGAAATAGGAGTTCTCCCAGGTGGAAAGGAACTTGACAAAGAGTCTGGAAACCTTGGTTCTAGTCCCCAAGCTGATATTTAACTAGCTGTGTGAATTTAATCATTGCTCTACTTTAGAGAATTACACTATTTCCTCCATGAACTCCACTAATGCCTTTATAAAGGAATCATGGTAGGAAAAAAAAGTCCATTTCCCCTAAGAAGGTTATTTAAGGACTATTATAAGCATTCTGTTACGCGATTTATCATTTGTGACTTTCAATGCCATTTAAGACTGCAATATATTGTTGGAAGTACATTTCATTGCAATATCTTAAACAAAAAAGAATAACTTTATCAGATAAAAATAATAACAATTATGTTAGAGATAAAATTACTGTTTATGGCTACTGAGTAAACAATGATATAACTTTTCTTTAAAATCACAGCAGACTCACTAAGAATAAAGTAATGCTATACTAAAGTATAAACAAAAATAATAATTATGAGAGTTACAAAAGTCTCATGTAGCACTTTCACTACTTGCATATAGCAAGCATACTATCAGCAAAAAATGACTGGTTCATCCTGTCCTTTTATATTCCATGATCACAAGGAGAAAGGAATTTTCAGTCAACATAGTCAACTTCAGCTTCTCGGATACAAAGAAATAAAAATTAAAACAATGCACCACATTTTTTCTTTCAAATTAACAAAGTTTTAAAATTCTGTCAAGGGAACAATAAACAGAATATTCTCAAATAACAGTAGTGAAAGACTGAACTAGTACAACCTCTCTGAAAATAGTTTGGCAGAAGATTAAATATAGTCATACTGCTGATCCACTAATAATTTATTTAGGAATCCATCCTGAGGAATAAACACAAAATGTTTATATCAGGATATAAGGATGATCACAACCTCCATTCCAGCAAAATCCTCCACACACCCTTGTTTAAGAATGGAGGTTATTGTTTTTCTTGCTTTGAAGAAAGTTAAAGTAAGATATAGAATAAATGTACTTAATTACAAACACTGAGAGCTATATTCATGTCTCATAAGCAAATATTTCCAAATAGTTTGTCACTTAGTTCCCCCTCCCAAACCCAAAAGAAAAAAAAGAAAAAAAAAACAAAAAACAGCAAGGTGGAATCGGGTATGCACAGGCAGCTACCCCATTCATAGAATTGTCTTTGATAATGTTAATGTTCCATATCTTTGTTGTCCAATATGGTAGCCAGTAGCCACACTTTAAATGCGGTTAGTGTGAGTAAGGCACTCCTCTTTCATTTTATTTTGTTTTAATTAAATTTTAACCACAGGTGGCTAATGGTTACCATATTAGACAACACAGTTCTGGAGCGTTGGTTCTCAATCCTAAAAGTATATTCAACTTACCTGGGCTCACAGTTGCCCAGGTTCCACCTTAGATCAACTAAATCAGAATCTCTGGGGGTGAGACCCAGGCACTGGCATTTTTTTAATTTGCCTGAGGCAAATCAACTAAATTCTCTAAGCCTCCATTTCCTCACCTGTAAATGAACAAAATATAGAACCTACTGCATATGATTATTATGAGAAGTTAACTGCTATTAGTATTCTTCCAGAATAAATTTGCTACTATTTACAAGTTGGAGAGAGTCACAGTTTGGAGAAAAAAAAAAGTGTGCTCTTAATGGTGTATCCAGAGATGTTTAATAAATATTCATCAGTGATGTAGATAACATCTCAAAGTTGGCTAGCCTTTGGAAAACCACTTGGAAAATGAAAGCAATTATGGACCATGTTTTCCAAGGGAAATTATCTCATTGTAAAAGGCTCTACAAAATGCTAAAACACAGGCCTAATTCCGGAAACGTGTGAAGGGCAACTCTTACAATTATATGAATTTACACTTTTCACCCCTCACTCCCTCCCAGTAGGTGGTACACGAAAAAGAATTATAGCCACTGATTTAGAAAACACAAGAGTGCCCTCAGTACAGCTTCAAGGTTGACTATCATCCAGGAAAGGAATGAGAATATTTCTTTCCTTCAGTGCTTTAGGGAGTCTCTGATTTATCCTCCCTCTGTAGAAGATCTGTTAGAAAACTCTATATGAGCACATAATCTGAGCCTAGGTGGCCTGACAACAGCAGCAGCACTTTGCCCGCCATCAGCTCTCAGGAGCACCGCCATTATCCAGGTTTCAGTCTCTAATTCCTTGGAAGTTCTTAGATTTCATTTCTTAGGGCAATAGATTCAGGACATAGGTTTTCCAAAATGTAAGAAGTAACCGTGAAAGGGCAAATTAGCTCCCAATGATGAATATGTGACAACTGAAACCAAATATTAGTAGAGCATCATCATTGATGTAAATAGTTAAAATAAGTTGAGTTTGTATGAGGCCCTGAGTCTATGGGCATTCCTTTCATGAACCACGTTTTCCGGAAAACTAAGCTATTATACAGGGAGCCATGTAGAGATTAGACTGGTTGTTCCCTTCTTCATTCCCATTTCCCTGAAATAGTTTTTTGTTTAACCACAAACATAAAAAATCATTTTTGAAAAGTAATGTGGAAAACACATGAACTGACAATTTAGCCGTCAAAACCCCAAAGTTGCTTTTCTGTCATGTTTCAGATTAAATCTAGAAGCATCCCATTTGAAACAGGCTTATTTTTTCTATTTCAAAGCTGACTGTGAAGAGCAGGGCTCATTTTCTGTTCTCCCAGACACTGCTGAGAAAGGAAAAACAGACTCACATCTCATGCTAGATAAACCTAACATTTTATTAAATAAGATGTGTCATAGATAGCCTATTTATAAATGAGACATTCCTATAGGAATAAAATCAAAAGGAATAAAATTTTATAGAATAAAAGCCTAAAATGATTGTTTATGTCCGTAAATGGCACCACTGTTCACCTATTTATTTATGCCAGAAATCTGAAAACAATTCCTCTCCATATAGCAAGTCTTCTCAGTTTCATCTCCAAAATGCCTCTCAAACCCATCCAGTTCTCTGCCACTACTGAGCATCCTAGTTTAAGCACTTTCATCTCAAATGTACAACTACAAACTTGTCCTAATGGCTTATCTCCCCATTCTTTCTCTTGCCTCCTCCAACTATTTCTTCCCACAGCAGCCACAGTGATCTTTTAAAACTACATATCTAATCAGATCACTGCCTACTTAAAACACTCAGTGAAGGAGCATCAATGAATCCTAAAACCGATAAGTGAGTTGTTAAGTAATAGGATAGTCACATGATGCCAAAGTATCACCTCACAGATTACTTTACAAGGAAGACAGACAGTGGTTACCACTTAATTGAATGACCAAACGTAACATCACTAATATCAGGACATCCTGACATACACCTTCTGATCTGGTACAAATAACATTCACAATATCACCTATGAAGTATTATTACCAAAAATGTTTAACCTAAATCTAACAATACCCTTAGGACTAAATTCCAATTTACAGGAAATGTAGAGAATAGAGGAAAAAGTTAAATAATTCCACAAGAAAACACTTAGACAAATCCAACATAGGGACATTCCACAAGGCAAATGGGCTGGACTCTTCAAAATGTCAATGTTGTAAAAAGAAAAAAAAGGGCAGAGGATAGGAAGTGGGAATTGGTCTACATCAACAGAGATGGCAAAGACATAGCTGAAGACAACGCACGAATCTTGACGAGATCCTAACTTTAAAAGTAATGCACATATATACATGTATTTATTTATTTATATACATACACACATATTTTGAAATAATTGTGAAAATCTGAATATGAAATAGTTTACTAATTAATTTCTTTCAGTGACCATGGAACTGAGGTTATATAAAAGAATATCCTTAACCTAAGGAGATACATGCTGAGTTATTTAGTGGTAAATTGTCATGATATCTACAAATTACTTTTAAGAGGTTTAGTCAAAAGGAAGAAAATGGTACCTATATGTGGGGAAAATGATAAAGCAAATACTCTAAATTATATAATTGTTTAAGTAAAAGGCACATGGATGTTCACTGTGATCTTGAATTCTTCTATGTGCTTGATCATTCTCAAAATAAAATACCATAATAAGAACAACATCCCTTTAATGACTTACCCTGACTCTTAGGATGGAATCTGAAATATTTCCGTGGTCTGCAAGGCCTGACTTCATCTGGTCCCTGCCCATCCCTAGCTCCCTCTCACAGCACTCTCCCCTTTGCTCTCTCTACTTCAGTCATGCTGTTCTTCGTTCATACATCCTTCGAGTCTTAAGTGAAATACCACTTCCTTCCCGATATTCCCCAAGACTGGTTTATGGAGGGACTCGTGTGACTGAGGGAGATGAGATGGACACGGGAAAATGGGATGAATTATGAAGGAGTGAGATGGGAAAGGGAGCAATTTTCAGAACTAAAATAGAACAGGACAGATGTCTTAGAGGGAGGAAAACACAGAGATGGACTGGCCAAACTGGAACATATCTGATGACACTAGTATCTTTCATTAAACCTCCATTATATGTTCTCACAGCTTCCTAAAATTCTCATTCATAATATTTATCATGATTCTATTTTAATATCTGCCATGACAAAGTAACCGCTTGAGTTAAAGCCGACCCTCATGATTCTAAGACTATGCGTGTACTTATTCAAAATCAAAAGTCCACACCAAACAATATCGTCTATATTAATAAAGACTAGGTCAGTTTTATTAATCATTGTATCCCCAATACCTAGCATACAGAGGGCGTTTGTTGGCTTAAAGAATGTCACATAATTTGGCTTTAAAAGAATACGATTTTAGTCCAAGTACTACTTAACTCACACATTAAATATCCATTGAAGTTGCAATATTAAAAATGGCTTTTAGATTTAGTTATTAGAGTTGATTATTTAGATGATTGTTGAATTTAATGAGCAGTTTTGTTCACAAGATTCATTCATGTAATCATACTCCTCTCTCATTTTTAGGTATTCTTTTCCCCCTTTTTATTTTCTCTATCTACAATACACAGTTTTTAAGACAGAAGATTGTACACTGACAACTTTATGTCAAGCTTTTATTGTTAGCTCAGCAGCTTAGAGCATGGCTCTTAAAGCAGCTAAGAATGTAGGTTTAGAACCCTCACACATCAGTCAGACTGACACTAAAAGTATCCGCATCACTGTATCATTTGTTAAAAGATGGAGCAGGAGAGAAAATACTGACTGACAAAATATGAGTCCATCCCCTCCATTAGAACATTAATACAAAAATAACTGTTAGCACAATAACCCTGCTGACTATGGCTTCTTTTATGTAAGATAGCAGATGTGTAAAATTACAGTGGAAAAGATAATCTGGTATATAAAAATCTATATGATCACTTATGGGAAAATGTGGCTATTATATTTCATTTTCAAGATCCATGTAACTAAACAATGACTAAATTTTGTATAGAACTCAAGCACAGTTGAACAAATGGATAAATGCAACCCTGATTCCACCTGTATGGTTGGTAAAAACACATAGAGTCGGGTATTTGGGTAAATTCTCTTGGTCTTGAAGATAACCACATCCAAAGTTGACAAGTCGAAGAACACAAAAGACAAAAAATTTTTAATGAATTTAAAAATAAGCTCCCTCATAAAAGATAGTAACCACTAGAATATACCTATAGAAGTACAGACATGTCCCTGAGAAATTTAAGTACATACATTTTTTTTTGTTTAAAAATTCGAAAGAACAGTTATTTTTAAATACATGGTACATAAATAATGTGATCTGGGAAACAGAAAAAAATAAAACTACTTTCACCATTCATTTTTTCCTGATTTAGAGGACAACATGCGATTCAAAATAAGCACAATGAATGTTTACATATGATGAAATAAAGCTAGTGAAACACTGAATAGTTTGGATTATCATTGCTCTAATTCAAGAAGACTTTCCTTTTTCTGTGCACTGATGGCCTTGAGTCTATTTTTTCAAGAGTGTTTCATGTTTTTACTAAAATAGTCTGGGGGGGAAAACTTACCTATTGTGTAAAAAGGGAAACAGAAAAGAAGTAAAGCAATAGATTCAGTTGAACTGCAAATGGATTGACCTGTGACTTCCTCTTTGATGATTATAAGAAAAGGGCTTTGATGCTTGATTATATATATATAAATCAAATTGATTATACATATATTTTAGGGAGGGAGAAAGGGAGAGGGAGAGAGAGAGAGAAACATTGATGTGAGAGTGGAACATCCATCGACTGTCTCCTGCACACTCCCCCTGGGATCTAGCCTGCAACCTGGGCATATGCCCTGTGCCCTGACTAGAAATTGAATCAGCAACTTTTTGGTTCACAGGATGATGCCCAATCAACTGAGCCACACCATCCCGGGCTGATGTTAGATTCTAAATGTAGCTATCTCTTAGTCACTGGGAGAAGAACACTTTCATAGATCAAATAGATGGAGACACCCTACAGAAATAAATGACTACAAAAATCAGGACGATTGGTTTTACATGGTAAAACCCTGTGCTCGTGCTTGATAAAGCTGTTACTATTCCCTGTAGAGAACCGAAATATAAAAGAACACACACACACACACACACACACACACACACACACCCCAAATATCAAATTATCCTTGTATCTGCATACTATAGATTAGGCTTGAATCTAATCATTCTTCCCATGAGTGAGTATAAAAATTAATAGAAATCTATGAATAACTTACTTAAATCCTGAGTTACTTAATAATATGTCCAAAGGTGCTTCAAACTGTCAAGGAACCAGGAGAAAACAAATGAAAAATGACATTAGGTGACACTAGTTCTGAAGACCAGAGCAAGCCTGACAGCACTGTGCTTGCCTAATGATGAAGAGCCCATTTAACCATCATTATCTTCAGAGATTATTCTGAAGGTACACAGCACAGAAAGTCCATGGGGAATATTCTGGAGTTCATACAGTCACAAGCTGGACGTATATTTCTTTCTCAAAGGGCTAATACTTGGCAAACTTTGTTTCAGATTTGAATATCATAAATGGATTGTGTAGTAAACCAATTGGAAGGAGTAAACTTTTATAAAGTCACACATGACCACATAAGGAGGGAAGGACTGCATGTCTTTAGCAGGAGAGTGGATGAGTAAAAAAATAAAATAAAATAAATGGGCAGGAGGAATAAATAAAATACTTATTATGGTATGATACCAACCTAGACACCAATATCAGTCCTAGTCAGGAAGAGTAACAACATACTGTTCGTTATAGATAAAAAATTATTTATGAATCCTCACCCCAAGGCTAGCATTCCAAATAGCTTTTTCAGTAGTCATGTTAGATTTTTACTAATTAAACTATACCCTCTTGCTGACCTTATTCTCAAATCCTCCAACCTCACAAGTTCTTTGGCATCAATGACTGATAACCACTTAAAGCTATTTACTATTGACCACACCTATTACCTTCTACTAACCCTCTCTCTGACACTTGTTTCTTTAACGTGAAGTATTCAGTTAACAGAAGTTTCCTGTGTTTATATTAATTGCAATTGTTACAGTGTTGAAGCCTTGAGATGGCAAGAACTATTTCACTTGCTCACACAACTAACAGAACATCAAGAATGCTACAATGCTGTTTATAACATCTCTCTTTGAAAAGGGGCAGCAACATGTTAAAAGTTTCCTCTAGCCCACTCATTTTCTGGACCTACCATTAGGGTAAAATTCTCATCAGCACAAAATTGGATGCATTTTAAGATACTCCTTGATTTCTAAAAGAGAAAACAGAGTAAATGAGTATTACCCCCCAAAAGTCAACAAAAACACGAGTAAAAATAAAAGAGCATGTGAGAGAGAGAAACAGTCCAAAAGCAAACAGTAACAAAAACCTTTGCATTACTTTTAATAAACCATCAATGAACATGCAGTGGTTAATAAATTATAATAATTACAATGTCAAAATTCAATCATAGCTATAAAAAGGAGGTCCAGTGGACTAGTTTTTACCTTTGGGTCGATGTAGTATAATCTCTGCTCTGCCATATCCCACTGAGCCCAAACAAAATCCTCTGCTACTCTCTGTCTTGGGAGTCGGTCAGAATTTTTAATCACCTAAAGAGTCAAAAAAATTTTAGAAATAAATAACTGTTTTAAAAGAAAAAAAGATCTGAAAATCATTATTATTTTGCATATTTTATCTGAATAATACATGTAAGTATTTCTACAGTTCATTTTTAACAGCCCCCCCCTCAACACATACATCTGAAAAGTCTTTTCAGAAAAGATTTAAGACATCATTTCATGACTTGCTCTCCCCAAACACTTTATAATGTACTATTTTATTCTATTTCTAGTTTGACAGAAAGGCTGGTGCTGTTGAAGGCAAGGCCACGTCTACCACAAATTAATAACTAGGTTAATAGAAGATTCAGGGCTTCCTGTTCTGGACACAGCCCACTCAGGTCTCTGCAGATGAGGCCTTCACAGGTTGGGACGCTGAGGTAGAACAGCCCAAGACAAAGCTCCCCACCTCTGCATTCCTGTGGCACTTTGGCATGCTTCTATTACAGTTACTTTTTTTAAATCCTCACCCAAGAATATTTTTCCATTAATTTTTTTCAGATACAGTGGGAGGGAGAGAGAGAAAGAGAGAGAAACATCTATATAGGAGAGACACATCGATTGTTTGCCTCCTGCACAAAGCTGGCTGGGGATCTAACCCACAACCAAGGTACATGCCCTGGACCTGGAATTGAACCCATGACTCAAGTTCGTGAGCTAACACTCTAATCACTGAGCCAAACTGGCCAGGGCAATTACAGTTACATTTTAATTAATACTCTAAGTCTCCCCACTGACTATGCACTCTTCTATAACACCTTCATATTCTCAATGTCTTGTTCCTAGCTCATAACCATACTCAAGGAATGCTTATTCAAAAAAAGAAAAATGAGCCCTGGCCAGTGTGTCTCAGTGGTTAGTGTGTCAGCCCACACACCAAAGTGTCATGTAGGTTTGATTCCCAGTTACTGGTGAAGGGCACGTACCTGAGTGGCAGTTTTGACCCTCAGCCCCAGTCCAGGCACATGCTGGAGCCAACCAATCGATGTGTCTCTCTCACATAGATGTTTCTCTCTCTCTCTCTTTCCCCTCCCTCCCTTCCACTCTCTAAAAATCAATGGAAAAATATTCTCAGGTAAGGATTAACAATAACAAAAAGAACAACAACAATGAGATAAGGGATGTGAATTGCCAAGGATATTGCAAGTTTAACAGAAGGAATTAAGTATTCACTTCCTCAAAATGCTTATGAGCAAAAGTAATCTATATGGGGACAAATGAGTAAAGAATGTAGAGAATGTTGAGGTACAAAAAATGAGGAAAAGGGGGAGCATTAGAACGGTCCATTTTCATGCCTAAACCCTTTGTAATCCTACTAGAGATTTCCCAACTGAGGCTAACTTGGAACTTGAGGGAGGCACAGGGCATGTGGAATACTGTGCCTCCAATTCTGGCTCGCCAGTGTCCACTACACTGAGGCTGGAGGAAAGTGGTGCTGGAGGAACGGCCCAAGAGGACCTGTCTGTCTCCTTGAAAAGTCCATCTGATTCCACTGGAGTGTGGCAACCCAGGTTCACACCTCAGTTTTGTACCCATCCAGAACTATGTCACTTGAGAATCTTGGTTGTGGTTTTTCCTGTAAAAATGGAAATAAGAATAATACTCCCTCCATTATGCAGGAATGTTGTGAGGAGTATGTGGAACCACACACTGCCTCGAGAAAATGTTGTCTAAGCCTTTAAGAATGAGGGCCAAGTGCCTCCCACAGGAGGGCACTCACGGACAAAGGAATGCAGAGGTGGCACCATCTGGGCAGGGAGAATCCTTTCTGGGCCACTGACAAATGCCCCCTCCCCTCACTCTGCAGTGCCTTCTGGGCTCCCAAACCCTCTTCCAACCAGCCAGTCCTGTGTCTATGTCCATTCGTAGTTTCTGACCCCTATGAGTTTATTTAAATATCTCCCCTAAATTCTCATCACTGGCTGTGGGATCCTGCCTTGTCCTTTCCTCTCTGAGCAAACCTTTCTGTGATCACTGGCCCTGATCTTGCCCTCCCTCATCCACTGAGCCCCTGGTGGTCCAGTGCTCTAGCCACACATGTTCTTCTAGCCACACATGGTCATGCTCTAGCCCGGCCTCTTGATATGAGGTGATCAATAGTAGATACATATTAATAAATGCCATTTTTCCATTTCAATTTTCTTCACATAACTTTAAAATTAAAATCTTCAGACAAAACCATTTTTATGCAGACAGTTAAATATTGAAGAAAATCATTTTAAATATCAATAAGATATTAATATCTGATACAAATTGTCAAAAGAAAGACAACCCAGTAGAAAAATAGACAAGAATATAACTAAGCAATTTTTAGAAAATTCAAATAGCCAGTAAGCATAGTAGATGCTCAAACTCACTAATATTAAGGGACATGCAAACTAAAATAATAATGATATCAACTTACACCCATTAAATTGGAATTTATTTTTTAGAAGACAGATACACCTATTAGCAGTGTGAATAGAGGAATGGGTTTTGTTATAGTTTGCTTGTAAACTGCAAATTGTTACAATTTTTTGAAAAGCAATCTGGCAAAACAACAATGAGGTATCACCTTACACCTTCCAGAATGGCTGCCATCAACAAATCATTGAACAAAAAGTGCTGGCAAGGGTGTGGAGAAAAGGGGACTCTAGTACACTGCTGATGGGAATGCAGACTGGTGCAGCCACTATGGAAAACAATATGGTGTTTCCTCAAAAAATTAAAAAATGAACTGCCATTTTACCCAATGATCCCGCTTCTAGCAATATGCCTTAAGAAGCCTGAAACACCAATCAAAAAGAATATATATACCCCTATGTTCATAGCAGCACTATTTACAATCACTAAGATCTAGAAACAACCTGAGTATCCATCAATAGATGAGTGGATAGAAAAGTTGTTGTACATTTACACAATGGAACACTACACAGCTGTAAGAAAGAAAGATCTCTTATGCTTTAAGACGACATGGAGGGACCTGGAGAGTTTTATGCTAAGTGAAACAAGCCAATCAGAGAAAGACCAATATCATGTGATCTCACTTATTTGTGGAATATAATGAAGAAAACAATCTAATGGCCCTGGCCGGTTTGGCTCAGCGGTTAGAGCGTCGGCCTGCGGTCCCGAGAGACCCGGGTTCGGTTCCTGCTAAGGGCATGTACCTCGGTTGCAGTTTGTCCCCGGCTCTGGTCAGTCGTGTGGGTGGCAGCCACTCGATGTATCCCTTCACGTCGATGTTTCTCTCTCTCTCTGTTCCTCTCTCCCCCTCCTACTCTACCTGAACAAAAAATGGAAAAATGTCCTCGGGTGAGGATAAAAAAAAAGAAAACAATCTAATGAACAAAATAGGCCCAGAGACATAGAAGTGGGGTACAGACTGACATATCTCAGAAGAGGGAGTTTGCTGGGGGGATAAACCATAGAACTTATATGCATGTATGCGTAACCATGGATAGACAACAATGCTGGGTGGGGGGTGGCGGGTCTGGAAAGATGGTGTCAATAGGAGAAAAAGGAGAAACATCTGAAACAAACAAAAAAAATTAATTTAATTTAAAAAAAAGAGAAAGAAAAGCAATCTGGCAAAATCTATTGAAATTTATTAAAATATCAACCCAATTATCTATCCCTGAAGATTTAAACCCAAGAGATATGTGTACAAAATAGGCAAAGCTATAGACACAAAAATATTTGAGATAATTCCAAATGCAAACAAATAAGATAAAATGAAATTGGTAATCAAGTAAATGTCCATCTATGGCAGGGATGAGGATGATAGACAATACACGTATAGAGAAGAGTATGAAAGTATATATACCAGGTTGTGAACAAAAATTAAAGGTGAAAAGGTGAGGGAGAAGTGGAAAACAAGCAAATAAGAAACAAGAATGTACTATATAAAACCTCAGCATATATTTTATAATTTTACTTATTGTATGTGTATGTATATGTATCTATGTATAAAAATTAGAGAAAAAAGTTATATCTTTATTTAATAGCCTATAAGAATAAATAAAATGTTTCTGTAACATTAATCTACCTTTTTTAATGTTTTTTCATTGATTTTAGAGAGAGAGAAACATCAATCAGTTGCCTCCAGGACCCACAACCGGGGCATGTGCCCTGACTGGGAATGGAACCAGCAACCTGGTGGTGCACAGGATGAAGCTCAATCAACTGAGCCACACAAGCCAGGACACATTAACCTAACTTTAGCAGTCTAGAAATGTCACTCTTGGGGGCAGGGGGCTCTGAAAAAAATGAATTTCAAATATTTATCGTTCTATTTCCATCTTCTTGGATGACTTGGATAAGAAATTGTTCAATATCTTTAAACAAAGAAATAACAGAAAGATAAGTTACCTTCACAATAGAGATTAGTACTTTTTTCACCGAATGATTGTGAACAATTTTTTAATAAAAAATGGAGATTAAATAACTGGCTAAAAATATTATCACAGACAGCAGTCTCACAATAAAGATTTAAAACACAACCCACCTTTCTTCAACTTCTCTTTACAGTCTGTTTCAAGTCCAACATTTACTCTGCTCCACAAAATTAACAATGCATGCATTTAACCTTTCTGTTCCCCTGAGTTCCTTCAACAAGCATTTGCCTCCCCTATACCATCAGTCTTATGTGCAGCTAATAAAGGCTCATTTGCCAGGGTTTATCTTCAGTTTCCAAATACCAAACACCTGTTTGTATGAAAATATCAGATAGAAAACTCATACAAGATATCTGGGGGAGGCATTTTTATAGGGATAAATTTCACATTAACAAACCTAAACATTTTGGGTCAATTTTTAGATGATCCCTTTTTCTCAGTAAGCAATTTAGATTCATTCAATATACTTACCTTCTGCTGGTTCTAGTTACAAAAATATGAGACAGACAGTTGGGTAAGAGCATAGGAACTAAACACAAACCTAACCCCTCAGGTTTGTTTTCCCAATTATAAATTAGCAGTTTAATCTTGTAACATAAAGGAGACTTATTAGATAAGATCCACCAGTAAATTTTGTCCTTTCTCCTTCCAACCTCCAACCTGAAAACATTATTAATGGATGTCCCAATCTTACTACCTAAATTTGACCAAGTTAGTATGTGTCCTCAAGTTCTGCCATGAAATTCTTCTAGTTTCTAATGCCTTGCCCTGACTCCATCCAAGCCTGTCTCCTTATATCATGGTTATCCACTGTGACAGACATCCTAAAGGAGGATGGACTAAAGAAGGCGAAAATGACCTGCGCAACTGTTCTACAAACTTACCACCACATGACAAAACTGGAAATCCGAATATGCAGGAGCCCATCATTCCCAGGATGAGGAAACAGAGCACAGTAGGAGGAAACAAGAAATGGGGCCAAAGGACAGCCCTTCCACAGGAGTCCTACGTCAACGGTCAGCAGGACCTCAGCACTGGTGAGTGGACCTCTAGAAGATTCAGTCATCTCCCATGTTTCATTAGGAGAGGTGCCACTCATGAAGTCCCCATGTACCACCTGAAGATCCGCTTACATTTCTCTTCTGAGATCAGTAACAGATGGCTCTCTGGAAGAGGATGACGGTCAACATGTGGGTAGAGGAACTGCAAAAAGAAAATCAATCAAAACCATATGCAACTACCTCGCTTACACAACTATTTCAAAAGTTTTATTGATCACTATATTACTATACACCATAGAAGAGACTTGGAACCACAGAACAGTTTAGGTGAGTCACACATTTAGGCGCACACACATTACAAATGAAAGCAAGCAGGAAAACAAAACATTTTCAGGAGCTCAGTTTTCCAGGGGGAAATTGACCGTGGGTACATCATAATTCATTTAAACAGTAAGGCTATAAAGTGTAAGCTATTTCTAGGGACGGTGCTTCCGATTTATAATATGTGATTTTGAAGATAATCAGAAACAATGTAACAACATTTGTACAGAAAGTTCTATTTCACATGCACACAATAAGAGCGATCAATGCATTCATTGTGCAACTAAACCCTAGTATTTAATTTGAGAGCTAAGTAAACATACTCTCCACCACAACTTCAAGTCCCACATCCACCAGACAAAGTACAACACAGCAGGGACTTTCCAAGAAAGGATAGTGAGTCACAGTGTTGCATGTGGAGAAGACTTATAAGCCTCAAAGCACAGAATGACTGCCCCGGGAAGAAAAGGTTGATCCACCCCACTCCTCCTCCTCTGTGCTCTCCCATGTGTGACAAGCAGCCAGAAACCCACAGCCTGATGCTGTCAGCTGTGATAAGAGGAAACACTGGCCATGGGATAACTCCAGTGACTTAATTCTTTCATCATCTGAAGGCTTCATTTTGTAACACGAAAGCTTACCAGAGGAGACCCACCAGTGAATTTTGATTCTTCCCTCCAAACTTGAAAGCAAAGTAAAAGAACACGATCCTTTATGTCCCCATGTTATAGTTGGCAGCCTCACTACAGACTAGGAAAATTTTTGGCAAAATATATTACGTGGTGTTCTAACTTTTCATAATGATAAATTAGAAATAGAACTGGTCAATTTTTAAAAGTATTTGTAGTCAGGTTTCCCCTTTTAGAATTGAAAAACAAAACATTAACTATATTCCATTCTTTATAACAATAAACTCAAAATTATAAAATAGATAGCAAATGAAGAATTCAGCTACAAAAATAATATAGAACTTATCTCCTGATTTGTGAAATGGGGCACATCGCGCAGGACACTTTGGGTTGAGGAGAAGCAGAGATGAGTGGCACCACATAGGTAACAAATGAGCAAATGCTCAGCCCTCAAACAAGGAGATACTCCTACAGAAGGTGGCATGGCCTCCCCTGAATCCAGAGAGGTGGCCAGGGCACGCCCACTTAGGACTGCAACCTGACTAAGAAGCTGTGGAATTCTAAACCTTTGCCTGGTCTTTATGTGGCAATCAGTGAGAGCATGATTTTAAAAGTCCCATGTAGGTAGTGTTTTTTTTTCTTTCTATTATAAATAAACAATAGAGCAAGACCTAGAAGTCAGAATATAAATAGACAGGCTCCAGACACAGCTCTACATAGCATGCAAAGCTTAGGGTATTTTGGGTATTTTGTTTGTTTGTTTTGTTTTTGCACTGTAAGTAGAACTCTACATAGATTTTAAGGAAACAATTATATTCAAAAATATGGAGTTCTGTTAATATTCGTCATTGGAAAGTATGCACCACAGGGTGTAGATGGGTGTCTTGGGTGTCTAAGTATCCTCTGGAACTATCTGAAAGATGCACCTCATGCTGGTGGGGAACTCTCCAAAGGCACCAGGTTAGGTCCAAACTCCACCCAATACTGTCCTGCTGAATGACGTTCCTTTGTGAAGGGGTCAAGATGGCATATGTACACTTAGGAAAATGTGCCACTGGAGATCACCATGGATCTTTTGATTAAAAAAAAAAGGAGGGAGATAGATCACAGGGCAAGACCACACTCAGTGGACAGTGAAGTTTATTTCTCTGAAGGAGGGAGGGAGGTAGGGAGAAGAAGGAAGGTGGGGATTTGCCATGGATGGAGCTTTGAATGTTTCTCTCTCCAGAGGCATAGATAGGCATGAGGAGCAGGGAGCAGGGCTAGGAGCTGAGATGGGATCACAGGTGAGTACAGGTTGTCCTTTATTTGGGTGGGAACATTTCCTTTGGCCTATGGATGCAGTCATGCAGCAGGTACATTTTATTTTTTTAATTTGAGATAAAAGTCACCATTTTAACTATTTTAAAGTATACACGTCAATATTTTTTAATATATTCATACTGTTGCACAACCAAATACTTGTAAATACTTTTCCCTTCCCAAACTCCCTTTATGTGTTCCAATCCTTTAATAGCATAACCATTGCCTATACAGCCCTGGGTGGAGATGCTAAGGAAGCCAAAAGAACAGGCCAGAGAAAGGAAGTGTTTGTCCCACAGTCACCCTGCACAGATGACAGTGTAGAGTGTGGCTTCCTGTGTCAGGGGAGTGCAGCTCAGCGCTCATGCCAGGCCCTGTCTAGAAGTAGCAGTGTCCCTCAGTGAGGACAAGAGTGGTGGCGAAAATACAGGACTGGAAGGACTGCTGCCAGTGGAGGACCGGATGACCATCTCTTTCCTAACACACATTGCATGAGGGAGACCCATTGGCTAGAGGCTGGGAATGGATGGGGGAGAAAGGAGGCAGATACTTCATATTACACAAGGACATTGTGCTGCAACATTGCATGAGCAAGTGCCTGTGGTAGTTGTATTCTATAAAGACACCACAAACACTATATACTGAACACTGAGCATTGCTCCTAGGGGACATACAAAGACAGCTTCCTTGGAGCCGCTAGTCACAACATTGTTGTCAACAAATTAATACATACCTTTGTTTAATGTGTTTTTGTTTAAAGACACCTTATTTACTATATAATGATGATTCATTAGCCTTGAACACCACAGCACTATAAACTCAAGCCTGAATGGAGTTTATCTAACGAAAACTCATATTTTTTCGGTAAAGTACATCACAGCCTTCTTGCACTTAGGAATAACATTAGGCAGCACTTCAGCACTATGCTTGGGGGACATTTTAAACAGTGAAATCACTAACAGGAAGTCCCAAAATTCAAAAAATCATAGCACTAAATAAAACACGGAAATAAAGTTTGTTTTCAATATGAGAAGTAAATCAAGAAGTCAGAATGTCACTTTGTTCGACCTCGACTAGAAATGTGTGCACAACGTTTTTACCACTTTAAACATGTCTGCAAATGACTGCAAAAACACCATGAGTATTGATTTGGGGGTTACAAATAAATTCTAGCAAGTAGTGGAATTCAGAATGTGCAAGTAATGAAGATTGACTGTACATAGTCCACCTGCATTATATACACAGTGCTTCTGCATCAAATCATGGAGTTGATAAATTATAGGATCAAGTCATTTAATCATAGATATTTCATCTGTCAACTATATGAATACATTAAAAAAGTATTTTAAACGTACTGTAATGTGTTTCATATTCGATATTTTATCATGTAAAACATTACATTATTATCAGACAAACCATGATATAATAGAGAGAGAGGAACTAGATTTGAGTTTTAAAGATTTCCATGTTTGCAAGGGAAGAGCTGATAATTCCTGCCATATCATTTATCAGTGTGCTTTGAGGATAAAATGTGATAATGCATTTGAAAGCACTTTGTAAACACCATTGCCTCTAGATTCATACTTTTTGATTAACAAGATAGTGTTAAATGACATACTCACTTACCTGAACCCAAACGCAGCTATCCACTGCTTTTAGAACTTTCACATTGTTAACGGGGTGGATTTCGACCAACAGAGTTAAGCACTTTGATCCTACAAAGTAAAGGAGGCTTTTAGAAATGACACATTATTTTCTCTGTATAGGTCTGAAACTGGAAAATGTAAATGTGTCACCTATTGTATTACACAAAGAAAAGCAATTTTCTTTTTTTATTAATCCTCACCTGAGGATATTTGTTTTTCATTTATCTTCAGACAGAGTGGGATGGGGGGAAAGAGAGAGAAAAACAGAGAAACATCGATGTGAGAGAGACACATAGACTGGTTGCCTCTGGCATGACCCCAACCAGGGCCAGGGACTGAATTGCAACTGAGGTACGTTGCACTTGACCAGAACAGAACCTGAAACTCTTTGGTCCACAGACCGACACTCTAACCACTGAGCAAAATCGACCAGGGTGAAAAGCAATTTTCTTAAAATTTACTTTGACAGCCCGGCTGATGTGTCTCAGTAGTTGAGTGTTGACCCATGCACCAAGAGGTCACTGGTTTGATTCCCAGTCAGGGCACATGCCTAAATTGTGGGCCTGATTCCCAGTAGGGGGCATGTAGGAGGCGGCCAGTCGATGTTCTCTCTCATCAATGTTTTTCTCTGTCCCTCTCACTTCCTCTCTCTCTAAAATCAATAAAGAAAAAAAAATTTGTTTTAATTACTTTGACATTTCTTAAAATCCCAAACAGATACAGAAAACATCATAAAGGAGAAGTTGATACACAGGGAGTGAAGAACAAGTTCCTCCCATTCCTCAGCCATCTTTAGCACAGCTTCACAGGCCCTCTCAGCCTCTCAGTCTAAGTGCACAGCCCACTTCGGCGTCACTCCCATTCTGCACCATAATGGCAAATGCTGTTTGTACATGGAAATGTAAAGCTACCCCTGATGCATGAACACGTTACAGTTGCCAGCACCTATCAGTAGGACGGGATCCTGGCTTCCCTCAGGAACATGTGGAGCTGCTCTGATAAACACGCACTTATTTCCTCAGTGTCACATTCAAGCAAATGTCAGCAGATAGCAATTAGAAGGAAGTCCTTGGACACAGGCTATAATGGGATCTTCACAGATATCTAAATTTAGGCCCAAAGTCCCCCTCCCCCAAGGTTAAACCTCAAAAGGAGTTGCCTTATATTTGAGTTCTTGGGTATTTTTCAATGACATTTTGAATGACAATGTACAATTTGGGGATAGCACAGCAACCTGGAATTGAATCAAAGCCAGTTTCACTATTTAAGAAAGTAACCTGACAGCACTGCTTCTTTTTTTTTTTTAAGGCAAAGAATGTAAGACAAATTCTGGGATGGTTCTGATAATTGCAAGGGCTAGATATCTCTGTAAACATGCCTTTAAAATTACTTATAATCAAGACAGTAAGTGAGTTACTATGTGGGATCACAAATTCGTACACAACAGAACAAATGAAGATCTAATGTCATTTGGTCAACAGATAACTTGTAGCTTAGAGTAAAAACCCGGGATCACACACCAATTAAAAGGGGCTGTGTTTCTAATAAATGGGATAAAAAAAAAAAAGTTGAGGTGCTTTAGGAATTTGCCTGATGATTCAAAAAAGCGCTCTAGGAATAAGAAAAACATTGGTGTCAAAGATAGTTGTGATGAAAAATAGAATAGAAATATTCTATGAAATGTGAGAATAAGGTCAATTGTAATTAAAAATAAAAAAATTGTAAATGTGAAAATGAGGGGGGGAAGCAATTTACCTTGTTATTTTATGTTATTTTAATAGGTAGAGAGTAGGCAAAAGAAACTAGTCTGAGGCTGGTGAAGGTGCATGTCAAGAAATGATGACAAGGTTGAAAAGTCCATTTGGGCCTGGTTCTGAAGAATCTCTAATCAGAGCCCTTAAATGGAGCATCTACAGCACTTAACTGTTCATAATGTACTTGGAGGCTCTGGAGATCTGAGTAGCAGTGGGGCCTAACATAGGTGGTCACCCAATTGCTGCCCAGTGGAGATCTCTGTGCCTTGGGGTTAATGAATTCCACAGGGGAGGGTAAAGGGGGCAGCTGGGCCTGGCTTCCTATGGTGGGACATTTTCTAAATAAAACATTAACGCTGACATGGCCACAGCCAAGACGACAAGCTGGTGATAAAAACTGTGTTGTAAGGTGTCTGGACCAAGGAATTCAATCTTTCATATGCACGATGTTACAGTTTGCTTGATTTGCAATGGAAAAAAATTTCATTATAAACAATAGAGTGTTAACACCTTGAGGCCAACTACATATTATAATCAAATGGCTTACC